AGTACTTCTAGTGAAAACTATTCAATAAAGAACAGCCAGAGGTACGCCCTGTGTGATCGAGGATATTTAGGCTCTTAACAAGAGGCAGTCCCGATCATTCTTACACAAGCTACCACTGCTAAATCCTAACTGACTAAATTGTATTTTAGTTTAATATAGTTTGAAACCTAATAATTTCCATCGAAGTTTACACATTGGACTGTGACTCCAAAAGCAATCTTATCGATATTCCAAAAGTGGCATATTCGACCGAATGCAGCGGAACGAACTTATCCAAACAGCTACTACCTCCAAAAAGCACACCACGAAAATGTATCTTTCGCGAACAGGTTCCACAACAAGTGGGACCAGTCCTTGAAGCTTCTCGCTCCACCAGAGACAATGCTGGGACAGATAATCGAGCAACTCGACCGACGACTACGCCGAGCAGTCCTCATAATTCCAATTTGGCAGAAGGCCATTTGGTGGCCTCACATCATTCGACATGGCAAAGACCTGACTATCCTAGAGCCGGGCGCGGTGCATTACCCAGTATCGGTAGCCAACGAACTCAAAAGGTTAGTTCCCCCTACGCGTCTATACGGAGCAGTATTGTACGAGTCAAGCGGCAGCGTGCCAATGCCGCGATAGATCGCGCTCGAGTGTGGACACAATTACAGAATTGAGGGTTAGCGCCCGGCACTCAGGAGAACTACCGGATATCGTTCCAGTTCTGGGCCAATTACGCCACTAGGCATAATCTTACCACCACCATTCCGACTCGGTATAATTACCATACGTCAGCACTTCATAAGAGCTGGAGTTGCTGTCGACATAGCCGATAAACATATCCAGTGGCACGCGTTTCGTCGCGGCTTTTCACAAAGTGCAATCAGTATGAGGGTGCCGGACGATATCATCGCCGGTATCATGAGCATCGATATAAAATCGCTGGAGAGCTATCGCTCGGTCACTACCGCTTCTGACGCTGACCGCAGATTCAACAGTTATTTGTTATGAGAGCCTCCTACGCAATCCGGTGTGGACTTTTCAAGTAGTTGTAGAAACAAATACTATTTTGGAATTTTTATATTCTAATAGTATTATAGAATAGAGAGTAGCACCAGTAAAGTCTTCCACTAATTGTGCGTTACTGTTAAAAATTTAACTATTTAACAGTAACCCAGATATTTGTGGTAAGACATTACGGTTCTACTCTACGTTTTTTTCATACTCCTACTTACAATAGGAGTATAAAAGGACGGTGAAGTGGAGACACTTCCTCATCCATATTTCCTTCTGCTCAACCATTTCCATCCATATTACCTTAGATATCACGGAATGGCGATAGGATGTAGTTTGAGAACATACAACAACTGAGCTCCCAAGTACACATATAACTTGTGCACAAATAGTCAATGTATATCTATATGTAATTTATGTAAGTCTATATATATTATATATATATTTGCTGTGACACATGAGTATACAAGAGAATAGTTAAAATCGTTAAAATTCTTGCACAGACGTAGATAGTTCAAGACTATATCACTAAATCCAGACATATTGGATCCGACTCCGATAAGTAAGACTTAGTGAACTATACACAGGAATATAAATATTTATGAGAGCCAAAATAAAAACTATTGTAAA